AAAAAAAAATTTTTTTTTTTTTGCTCTCCCTCGCTCTTCCCCCTCTCCCCCTCTCTCTCTCTCTCTCTCTCTCTTATAGGTCGCGCCGATGTGCGTCAATGGGGGGGGGGGGGATTATCGTCAATAAATCAAAAAACATCGTCAAAAACTTAATAAAAAATTATATACCACGTTTTTTATAATTTATTGTTTCTTGAATAAAGGACTAATAAAAGTTTAAATATAATTAAGTTTTTCATTTAAATGGTTGATGTTTTTTTCAATTTTTCTATTTCAAGTTTTCCAATAAAAGATGAAACAAAAAAATTTGGTTAAATAAATCGAAATATACTTCACGTTTAAAATAAGGCTTGAAAACGTTAAAGTAAAAAAAATTGCTGGTTTTTATTAGCATTTTTATACTGTTTGAAAAAAAAAAACTAATAAAAAAGAATTAACTAATAATATATTAATTAATAATTATTAGAATTAATAATAATAACAATTAATTCTTTTTTATTAGTTTTTTTTTTCAAACAGTATAAAAATGCAAATAAAGGTCAGTATTTTTTTTGCTCTAACGTTTTTAAGCCTTATTTTAAACATGAAGTTTTGATAAACAAAGATAAAAACCAACTTTTCAACTTTTCGCTTTAACGACCTAGTAAAAATTTTCCACGCAGAGAGTTTAAAGTAATTTAAATTCAAAAATGATTAACGTTGAAAGAAAATCTCCGCGCGAAAGAGCAAATCTATCTATTCAGAATAATAAATTTTGTGTGACGTTCTTTATGATAAAAACATTACTTTTAAGGATTGTTAAAAAATGCTAAGCTAGAAAAAAAGTAGTTAAACAACCAAAAAAACAAACAAATCGCGAAAAGATTTTTTTTAAGAAAAAACTAATCACAAAAGTGTGAAAAGCAATCGCGATCGCAATACGCCTAATACGAGCCCTGTAAGACTTTTTTATAAGTTCTAAACTATTAAAAACTATTACTTAATAACTTTTTTTTAACGATGTCTTTCAACCGAATGATATTATACTGTTTTTGCAAAACTAATTAAAAAAACTTGATTAAAACTTAACTATTTAATCACGACTTTTTTTTACTTGAAAATCGAAGTAGATATTTTAAAGTTGTTGTGACGTACTAACGTGATTTTTAACGACTAACAATCGAGTTTCAATGGTGAAAAAATAAAATCAAAATGGAGTTGTTTTTCAGTGATTTCGGCAATTGCTTTTTGTTAGCATGCATTTATTATTACAATTTAGTGAAAAAGAAAAAAAACTTACATATTTTTTTTTATGCTCTTTCATATGAGATCATATGTTAGGAGCACTTAGGGATCCCTTGAAGAATATGCTTACAAAACGCATGTAAATTGGAATAAGATTAAGCGAATGAAGACAATAAAGTATAGTGAAATCGAAGATAAAGTGTTTTCTTGGTTCTTGGAGCAGCAACAATTAAACAATTTAGTTCTAAATGAAACGATAAATTTAAAAGCACTCGAAGTAAATAGATTAAATTATGGACCTGAAACATTTGTAGCAAGTGATTGGTGGTAAACGAAATTTAAAAAACACCACGGTATACGGATTTCTTCTGTTTGTGGAAAGAGTATGTCTTGCAATGTAGAGCTATCTAATTCGTTTAAAAATAAATTTAAAAATTATGTTGCTTTTTGCCTGAACATATATATAACTACAACTGGTCTTGTCTATAAAAGTTTGCCCAATTAAACTAACGTTGTAATCTTTGAAAAATCCGCTGCTGGAAAAAAAGCAACGTAGAAAAGTGTAACAGTTATGCCATGCGTAAACGCATAAGTTAGTTTTGATGATGATAGGGAAATCAAAATTTCCTCGTTGCTTCAAAATATGGATTTGCCAGTATATTACAAATCATTAAAAAATGTTTGGCAAACCTTCAGTAACTCGACACTTAGAATCTAAAAACCTTCCCGTAAATTCTCTTTCTCTTAGTAAACAATGCATCTTTTCATAGATGTGAGAATAATTTTACTAGTAACCCGAATTTAAAAGTTATGATTTTTTTCTCCTAATAATACACCATTATTGCAACTGCTAAATCAAAATGTGGTAAAATCACTAAAATAACGCTATCGCAAACATCTACTTGCAGTTTCTTGCAGCCTTACGTGCAGAAGATGGATCAGTTTCAACACTAGAAAATTTAATTTGAAAGATTGTTTCTATCAAAAGAAATACACTTGAACAGTTTAAATCTGAATCAAAGCGTTTTTTATTATCTGCGGACTTAAATTTTCTTTTTCTTTTTTAGTAAAATAATATAAACTAGCACAATTTATTTCTTTTATTTGCTTTAGCTTTTACTTGTTCTAAATTTATTTTACAGTTAAATCAATTGTAAAGCGTAGTTTTATAAATTTTTACATATTTTATCACAAACAATTTATCACGATTTTATATATTTTGTTGTAAAAAACGACATAAGACAAACTGATGTTTCTTCTTGCTCCAGCTATTTGTTTTATTATTTTTATTATTTTATAAATTGTAACTTTCTATGGCAAAATTAAAAAATAAATAAAATAAAATAAAAGATATTTTTTATTTATGGTGCAGCCATGGAATGAAATTCTCGTGTCAATTATACAAAATTCATTGAAAATATTTTTTCCGTCAAGTGATGAAATTCAACGTTCTTTCCGATCACTTTTCAGAAGAAAATGATCTTGTTTGGCAAGATTGTATAATTCGATATTTAATGATTGTAATTTAGCAGATACTGAAATTATGGAGTGGGCAAGTGGAACAAATCATTTAACATTTGCGAGGCAAATTATCCATTTAACCTTAAAGGAAATCCTAAAGTAGAAAGTGAAACTAATCCTATTGTTTACCAGTGCCTCTGCGAATGGAACAGGAGCCTTGCATGCATTTTGAATGAGTCCAAAAAAATATATCCTAAAATACCTTTACTCCATCTTAAACAGTATCAATTTAAAAAAATTCTGAAAAACTTTTTATTCTAATTTTTTGGCATTATTATCCTTATGATTTAAATATTATTTTAATTTTCTTTTCGTAATTACTACAATTATCATCAGCACTTTTTGTTTATTTTTTTTATTAGTAAAACCTGCAAATCAATTTCTACATGTTTGTTTTAATGTATATTTTATGTGCTTTGGTCTGTATGTTAACGGTCCATGTGTTTCAGTGTGTGTATTTGCTTATTATTACTTATATTATATTAAAAATTGGTGTCATTCCTTTGATCAGATTTTTGTATGAGGACACCATCCTAATAAATCATTAACTTATTATTATATTAATATTACTTGTTATTATTTTTTTCATTGAAATTATTGTAAACATACTTATTATTATTATTACTATAATTTGTATAACTATATTTTTTACCTTATGTTATTATTATATATTTTTGCTATTATTACTATTATTATTATTATTATTATCATCATTATTATCAAAACTATTGTAAAATGATTTACGGAAAATAAATAGCTTGTTGTTGTTGTTTTTGTTGTAGTTGTTGAAGAAAATGAAAAAACGTTGGATGACTTCAATAAAAATATCAATGATGTGAACAATGATCATGAACAAATTGTTTTTCTTTGTTTTGGCATATAGTGCTGTACTAGAGGAAAGATTTATTAAAATTTGATTGTTTAATTTTTTTTAATATAATTAATAACTACACTTATATGATAATAATAATAAAATGTTTATTTTGCAAAATAAAACTGAATTCATTTATTCTACGCAGTTTAGTTAGTATAAGAATTAAGTAAAAATATTTTCCAGATAACAAGTATTTTATACTCCTTTTTTCCCTATAAGCAACTTTTAACCCAATTAGAAACTTTTTTTATTGAAATTGCTTATATAGAGCGTTCAATGTATTTGCAAACTTAATTTATAATAAAATGCATGTAAGTATACTAGAAAAAATAAACTCAACTAAATTAAAATACGTATAAGTGCTCAATACATTCCAGAGCAATTATTTTTTACCTAAAAAATAAAACTTTAAAAAAACTAATGTACTCAATCAGTTGTCCGATAATATAGAACAAATTCTTGTAAAGAAGCTAGATGCTACAGAAATTGTTCGTTCGGAATTTGTTGATGCTGGTTTTATCGTCATTAACGCTTGATACAATTTTTCTAAATATGCAGTTCTTTTTTTAGTTTTTGAAAACAATAAATTTTTTTTTTTAATGTCAGCAAATTTATCTCCGCAACTTGGCAAAATTGGACTTTTTGCACTTTCTAACATTTTATGTTCTTCTATCAGAGTTAATGCTTGTGCGTTTCCTGTAGTATTTTCGTTATTTTTAGTTGAATGTTCCTGTTTCTAATGTGTGTTTTGCTGTTCTCATCTCATTCAAATAATCTTTTCAGTAATTCTGTTGTAAATGTTTGTATTTTCTTTGAAGGCATAGTACCATTTACAAGAGAATCTAATAGCTCTTGTAATTCTTGGTGTTTATAGCTATTTATTCGAGTTTTCATCGTCATTAATAGCTCGCTACTTAAATTACCATTGGATTCTTTTAATTTTCTTAACATAAAATCAATTGCTAATCGGGCTGTTGCAAGATTAGCACCGTCTCTGCTAAGAGCTTCAACAGTTAATTTAATTGGCTTAAATGTATTTTCATGTAATAATTCAATTTTGATATTTATTCAATATATAATTCTGTGCGAAATTTAATTTCAAAAAGTTTTTCTGTGCGAAATTTTTAAAAATTTAACAATTATGCGAACACTTTTATATTTTCTTTTACTTTTCCTAAATGCGTTAATTCAGCACGTCCGTACTCTTCAACGTCATCGCAAAGTGTTGTATAATCATTAAAAACTTATTAAAAATGTGTTTTGTTAACCCTGAAATTCCCCTAAAAAATAAAAATTCTAAATAATCTTTTTCAATTGGTAATTTAAACTATAAAATATAAAAAAATTAAAACAGGAAAAATCATTAAGAAATGTAAAACCCTATTTCCGCATAGTGACGCTCAGTACAGCGGCTTAAGTTTTTTCTTAACAAGCACGTGGCTATCAGAAAAATCAGAGTGGTTTTTAAAAAATTATAAAAATCATTTACAAGTTTTAGGATTTTCATCCTCCAGAAAGGTAGCAATATACTGTCCCCACTTTTTTTTCTTTCAAGTTAATACTATTTTTACTTAAAACTAATACAAATAATTAATTTACAGCTTATACATTGTTAAACTGATGAAAACCAATCCAAAATAGTATTTTCAGTTAATAAACAATGTTCCACAGACTGTGACATGTCACGTCCTTGGAATGTCACCACCCAGACCTTTTGCTAATCCTAAGTGATTTAACCCTTGTTGCTAGTACTTTGCTTTTATTTTAGTACATAATAAATTATCAAAAATACATCAAAATTAGAGTTGACAATATTTTCCTTAGAACATATTTTAAAAGTAACTTTTATGTGATTGAAGGTCATGTCACCAGCTCAAGTGTCACGTCTGTGGATAGAGTTGTTAAGTTCAAAAAAAAGCTGTAGGAGGCAGCAGTAGTGCTCTATGTTGCTGTCTTTTTTGTATTAATGAGTAGAAGTAAAGGAAGTTTTGGTGTAGTTGTTTTAGTGTTGATAAGTGTTGAAGTTTTAAAAGTTGAATTCGTTTGTGTTAGTGTGTCATATCTGTGGTAAACATGCTTAAGGTAAATACTTTTCCTTTTTTATAAGTAGTACTTTTATTTAATAGCAATTACTTAGGCATGTTTACTCCAAAGGGAAAAGAGTTCTAGCCTCAAAACATAGTACTCCTTTTAGGCTTTCTCCTTCAATTTGTCACATCTGTGAATGTCACATCTGTGGAGTACACAAAGCAACAGATGTGACACATGTGGAGCGGACATGACAACAAATGACTACTTTATCTGTATGTGAATTTTTTAATGCCTATTTATAGTGTTTTTAACATTTTAAAACTTTGCTTATTTGCTTTTATCCAGATATAATTTTTTCTTTACTTACAGTTAACAAAGATAAGAAAGATAGAAAAAACTGGAGAATTGAAAAAACTAAGTATGAGGAAGGTGAGGGAGAAGATGAAAGCTGAAAACCCAGACAAGTATAAATAACAAAAACAGAAAGAAAAAAAGCAACACGAAAAAAAATTCATAAACTTTCAGAAAGGGATCTCAGTAAGAAAAGGTTGAAAAGAAAGGACCAAGAGAATTCAGGAAATGAAAAAGAAGAGACAACAACTTATTGAAAATTTGTCTACACCACCTGAAAGTCCAACTTTAAATATTTCTATCAACAACGAAATAGGCATCAATGTACTTCCTGGTCCCAGTCAGGAATCTAGTTCCAGAAAAAAAAAAGGAGTATAAAGTTTGTAGAAAATGAAGAGGTGGATTATTATTATTATTATTATTATATATTTTTATTTAAACTCAATTACAGTTGAACAACTTTGCCTTTAAAATTACGATTACTTTTACAATTTATAAAATAAATTCAGAAAAAGTTTTTTTTTTTTTTTTTTTTTTGTTCTTTTGTTTCCGGTTCCTCTTCCACTGCTTGAGTAACATATGCCAATGGCATAGCAAGATGGATATATTAGAAGCCAACTTTGTTGAATATGTTGGCCCCTATAATATGAAAGCCTTTACTTCCTTGTCGATTCGCCGCTTTTTTGACAATAAGGTTTGAGTCATCGTTCATTTTAAACATATTAGCCAAAGATGGATGGCACACTCCCGACAATGCCGACATTACTATTTTTGTTGCATGAACCTTTCTTCGCTCCCCCAAGGTGTCAAGCTTTAGTTCTTCCAAAAGGGGAGCTGAATGAGTGTTCCTAGGTTTGTGACATACAATTCGCACACACTGTTTTTGTATAACGTCAAGTCTCTTTAGTTGTGCTTTGGATTGACCAAGGTACAATATGCTGGCATACTCTAGTTGACTTCGTATAAGTCCTGTATACGCAATTTTCAAAAGTTCCCTTGGAAGCCTGACAGATGCTTTTGCCAATATTCCCATACTAGAGTGACATTTTTTAACGGTTGAATCTATTTGTTCTTTGAATTGGAGATGTTGATCTATAGTGACCCCTAATAGCTTCACATGAGTTACTGGTTGAACCTCAGTATTTCCAATTTTAATGTTTAAGTTATCAGGAAGTTTTTTTCTCGGTGATTTGAAAACTATAAGTTGCGTTTTACTGGAGTTCATGGTGAAACCATAATCAACACAGAACTTATTTGTATCTTCAAATGCTTTGCTTAGTTTCTCAGTGACAACTTCTATTGAGCTGTCTGCAGCTGATAGGGTAATGTCGTCTGCAAATAAATAAGATTCAGTTGTTAATGCTTGTGGAAGTTCTCTCATGTAGATTTTAAATAGTTCAGGGCTAAGACCACCACCTTGAGGTGCGCCTTTTGTTATCGACTTCCATTGGGTAATCTTATTACCGTTTTTCACCCTCTGAACCCTTCCTTCTAGGTAATTTTGAAATAATTTACCAGCTTTTTGGCTTAGTCCTATTTTAGCAAGCTCATTTAGTAGGTTTTGATGTGGAACACTGTCAAATGCTTTTGTTGAATGAAAAAAAAAATACAAAAATACAAAGAAAAAAACAATTGAAAGTAAATAGGTGATAAATACAAACAAAAATTCAACAGACTAGGATATGCAAAAGATAATACTCCTCAAAAAAAGCTGGTTCTCAAAAAATGACCAGTGGAAAGATTATAAAGAAGTACAGACTTCAAAGAATTTCAACAATCTTACTTCCAGATATATCTTACCATACAACTTGAATCAGCCCTCAAATGTACTGAAACAACAAAAACATAAAATGGAAGTAAAGAACTTTTAAAAAAAAGATAGTTCTAGTAGGCTTATGGCTGGGAAAAAAAAACAATAACAAAAACAAAGTGGAAAAACAGAAAAGATTATTAAATGATACAATGTTGAATTTGTGGAATGAGTTCAAACAATGTGATGGTGAGCTGAGAGAATCATGTCTGGAAAAGAAATGTGGAGTATGCCTTTTGAACAAAAAAATAGTTTGTAAAGAATTTATTAATGGTTTATTAAACATTTTTTACAATGGTCTAAAAAAAGTGTTGAACTTGTGGTAAAAGGTAAAATGAAGACATGTTTTAAAACTGTAAAAGGAGATTTAACATTAAATAAAAAGCTGTTTTTGCATTTTATTAATAACTTACTGGAAATGGCGTTTATGGCGTATGTATGCAATATAAAACACCAGTACCAAAGCTACATTAGAAACAAAAAAAATTTCTTAGGGCCTAGAGATTTTTTCATTATTGTGATTTTTCAGAAAAATACACTTCGGTGGATCAAGAAACCGATTGTCAATTCATACAGTTGTGGCTTACTATTGCAGTACTTCTAAAAACAAAATAAATGCAAAATCTTGCTGTACATTTCCAGATACAGGCGTCATTTTGTTGACGATCTGTGCGCATTTAAAGCCTGTTATTAATGACTTGAAAAAAAAACTGCCTATCATTGAAACAGTTCATTTCCTTAGCGAGAGTACTTCTCAACAGTATCGAAGCAAGTCCATATTCTATTTGGTAGGTACTTTTTTTTAAAAAGAGTTTAGAGCTAAAACCATGAGGTGGCATTTCACAGAAAAGGGGCATGGAAAAGTGCCCTTGATGGAATAGGAGGTTGTATCAAAAGAACCACAGACAGATTATTAGGACAAGGAAAGATATTCCTGATATTAATTGTTTGGTTGAAGAAATTAAAGAAAAGTGTCCAAGTATAACCATCTATACTATTAACAACACAGATTTCAATATCTATGAAAAATATGTACCAGAAAACCTAACAACTTTCAAGGGGACTTTACAAATTCATGAGGTGTTTTGGAGTTAAAAGAAATTATTAAAAAAGATTAAATTAAAAAAGAAACATTGTATATGAGAAGGCTGACATGCACTGAATGTGACAATGATACGAAATGCAATCACTACAGTATTGAAGAAGTACTGATGAATCTTCATTCTCATATCGTTTTAATGTATAAAATTTTGAAATTTAAGTTTGCTTATATTGAATATTGCAAACTTTTGTGTTGCTTAAATGTTCTCTAGTTTATTTTATTTACTAACTTAGTAAGAATGTTTTATTTTTACTTAATAAGTTTTTCAGTGAGCAAATTTCATTAAAAATGAAAATAATTTGTTTCTGTTTTATAAATAATTATTTTTGTCTCTGTTTTAAGAAATTCCTTAACATGGTTTAGCAGGCCAATCATTCTTGAAAATAAAGAAAATGCCAGCTGAAGAAACATTCAAAGGTTTTGCTCAAGAATACCAAGGACCGGGTAAATGTGAAATGAAGTTGACTAGACTAAGTTACCCCAGTGTTTACAGCGATAGTCAGGAGGACTTGCCTATTAAAATCAATGATTTTGTGATAAAGTTTCAAGCATAAAAAAAAGTATGAAATCTGTTGGGTTAATTCAAGCCTTAGGTGCATATGAAAATGAGTTTGTCATAAAGTTTTTAAGAAGATTACATCTCTGTCATTGATAAGAACGATATAGTGTTTAGATTGTGCGAGTTGAACCTCAACAACAGGGGGGCAATATAGTTTTCCACAAGACTTACCATTCAAAAGCATTTGCTAATTTACTTGCTAATAGTACTTAAAATTTTGTAAAACTTGTACTATGTACTTTTTTAAGTCAGCTATTAAAAACT